ACCTTAGGAAAATATTCTCTAACGTAGCCTTCGGGCTTGGTAATAAGTTATTATTTGCAGTTATAGCTGAGTTCATTTGCTGCAATGACATTAACAAAATGAACAAGAGATAGTTGATTTCATTTTAATAAATTTAATTTAAATTTAGGGTGATGTGGTAGGCATGGCAATCCTGTCCACTGTGGTGGCCACATCCGCCACGGCTACCACAGCCCCCTCTCTTCCCTCTTCCTCCGCACTTAAAACACTCTTTCTGAATCCCTGTAAGGAAAAAAAACACAAGTTAAAAGGTTTGACAAGAGAACACCCTTAGAAGGAGATGTTACCCAACTGACAACTATACCAAAAAGGGCTAAATGAATAACCCTATAGTATCCCAAATCTCTACTTGTATGATAATAGTTCTTACTCTTTCCTAGAAATGCTGGCATACTGCAGCTTCTGTTGTAATTGGAAATAAAATATTTGTGTTTTGCAAACTGAGTTAGTACAATAGACCTTCAAGGGCTTTTTTTAGTTGATCAATATTTAATTTTAATTTGTTTGTCATCAGTCAAAAATACTCACATGGGTAAATACCTTTAAATATATATATATTTTCACCTTTAAATCTTTCAGAAATTATCTTTATCTACTATGTGAGAATTCTTCGGAAAAAGAATTTATTTCATGCATATATTGAGATTGACACTGTGATGTACTACCATTTGTTTCTCTGATTGGACAAACAATGTATTTTGACAGTCATTCACTAATCCCAGCTTAATTCGTTAGTCAGTAAGAAAAATCTCCATATGTATTAGATACAAATATCATGAAAGTGCTTTTAATTAACACCATGAAAGTACTTTAACAATTTTAATTCACTTGCTGCGCTACATAAAAAAACTCACTCGTTCAATGCCTTCCCTTGTTTTGTTTTTTTTTTTTAATGCAAACTAACCTGTTTGTGTGCACTTTACATGGATTAATCTCTACTTGTTACAGATTGACAAATATTGTTTTTAAAATTTAATTCATTTTTGTATGAGCTTGACAAATTCAAGATTTTCTAAATACTTTGGAAAATAATATTTTTTAGAATAAATGTAAAGCTAGTTTACTGTACTGTAGCTTGCTAGGTCACTACCTGCTATCCTTTCCTGTTTTGTGTCCAATTGGCTACCAGTGTCTTTGTTCTTGTATTCTATTTTACTAA